CCTCTTGGACAACTCAGGAACGTGATGAAGAATATACGTCTATGAGGAAAAGAGATCTGCACCAACAATTCTGACCTAAACGCAGAAATTCAACATTTTCACCCGCTCTATCTAAAGAACGGTTACCGAAGGAGAATCTTTGATGGAGAACTTTTAGCACCGCAGCTTAAACTTAAAGATGATCAGTTCATGTGAACCAATGATAATTTTACCGTTCATACGCCTAAGCATCTCAACGTATCACGAGGAATTTCAATGACATGGGCTTAGGCTCTACTACAAGGCTCGCAGAACACTGAGCAATATTTTATTTAAAATCGTGCATGTCCATTAATTCGGAAGAAGTATTATATGTGACATAGAAAGTTCACTGCAGAGAATGCGATAAGGAGTACATTGGAAGACAGGCCGGAAGTTGAACATCCGGATAAAAGAGCAGATTCCTGCGGTCCGCATTGGACAGGTTGACAATTCCGGTAGTGCTAAGCATACGCTTAACGAACGGCATTCTTTCAGTCAGGCGAATGTGACTGTTATAGGCCAAGACCAGTGTAAATTAGATCTGCTGATAAACGAGTCCTTGCATATACTGACGATAGAAAACCGGATGTGCAGCGCATACGCGTCCTCTGTGGTTATTAGTGAAGGTTGGAGGACGATCGCAAAATTCACACGAAAAATCTTCTTAACACAACAATGATTTTATTGCTTCAATAAGAAGTTCACTCTATTTCTTAGTTAACATAGTGGCTGATCAGTTAAATAGCGTTTTGATTGCTAAGTATCGTGCGCTTGTTGAACATAAATGCCTTAAGTTAATGATTTGTACGTGACCTAGCCCTGAGTCTACATAGCGAAACGTGTCGGCTGTAAACTGCTGTGCCATCTGCTGAATTTTGTGCCCTGAACAATGAATCGTTCAAACACCTATCTGATAACTGCTTTATTTGAAAAGTAACGAAAGGTCCAATAAAACAATGCGTAAATCATATATATATGAGCCAGTTTGCCCGAAAATTTCGAAAAAAATTCGTTTCAAATTCGAGACCTCTTTTATATTCGCTAAGCGTGCGAAAAGTCATGGTCAGTCTTCTGTACTTTGGCGTGATTCGTAGGAAAGAAAATATAAAATTTCAGTGAAATTATCGATTTTATTAATCAAATTTATGTATATTTATGCAATAGCACTATTTTCATTAAGCATCCTAAATGACTGACTATCTACATTTCAATCTTGCGCTATAATCGAACTTGTAGGCGATGAAAGCAAGCGAGATTGGCACTTTATATTCGTTGCACTTTTCCGTTAGCCACTGGTTGACACGTATATCGTCGATGATTAAAAATCGTGTTCTTAAACTAACTTGTTTTCACCTTGGGATTAATTCGAGGTCCTTCCAAATACGGTAGAGAATGATGCGCGTGAAGAAGTTGTAAATCTGCAACAGGAGTATAGTTGGCCAAAGGTACTTGAAGTTCTTCGGAGTCACCTCTGTTCATGAAAACAATTGTTCTTGATCTCTTCCGCACTTCAGGCATCTTGCTCTGCTTGATGTATTCCATGAAGCTTACTTAAAGCTACGGAATATGATGAGAGGATAGGTCGCCCCCCCCCCACATTTCGATCTCTCTGCATTTTAGTCGTTCATCTACAAAGTTGCTGACCGGTGCTGATGTCGTTATTTAAAACGGAAAGGACGGTTTAAACAATTGATAATGACAGAGTTAACTTTGAAAAACATATTTGACAGATCAAAACTTCAATGCTTGCTTACAGCAGAACAAACCAATTATACCTCATTGGGCTAGAAAAATAATGTTGTGCGGCATTTTCAGTATTTTGTTGCATATTCGATGTCACACAAAAAATATTCAAAAATAAATAACATGCTTAATCATATTGTTTACTAGTACAGAAGTAAAGAAAGGGGCTAGTCGCATTTCGTTTAAGTGTTAACTCGGCGTGCTATACAGGAAAAGAAGCCAAGATAGTATACTTGAATGCAACGGTGGAATGATATTCGATGCATGTTGAGCAGGCCCGCATTAGCATTCTGCACAATGAGAATCTACATCCAATGAAATCTAACAAGTCAAATCCGTGTACTCAAATGGGGAGCCGTAATGTCATTGCAGAAGCGAAGAAGTAGAAACTGCAGTTGGTTAGATACGCTGCACCAAACAGTAATAGACTGTGTTCTAGGAGAATGTAGACAACCCGTGGGAAGACCTAGAGATCGACGGTAAAATGAGCTCAAAAAATTTGTTGAAACGAATGTGCAAACGACTAGTGGAAGATCGAACTGCGACTAAAACTCTCACGGAGGCCTTCATCCGGCGAAGCATCGAAAAACGCAGACGATGATGACTGAATCAATGCATCGCGCGTGTCAGTGAGATTGGAAAGCCGATGAAGTTGGCCGCGTACAGTACGAGATCACCAGCTGATGGCGATCGTGAAACGAAGGTTGCAGAATGACTTGAAAATCTATGGCACAAGCGTATGGGTGAAATTGAGGATACAGCGACCAGCAGACACATCGCACCAGCTTTGACGTAGAAAACGACGACGATAACCACGCTTATAAACAAAGAGGAGAAGTCAATGTCACGACGTGGTGATACTTGTGTCGCAAACCTGTGACACTGTGCTCGTTGGTTGGCATTGGGCGTGTGTCGAAGTCACTTGTTCTGTAGTATGGCCGGGGCAACGTGTACTACTGATGTGCAACGATGTCAGTGTCAACGTCACCAGCGACAGTACTGGCTCACGACAACATAAGAGGACATCACAGAAATCATCATCATACAGACCTGAAAAGAAGCTATGGATCGAGCGGAACATGTTCGTGCGTGTGTGCAGTGACGGAGAAAAACGTGTTGATGCTGGTGAGCGGGCTTGCAGTGTTGTGCTCGTACGAGAACGACGACGACTACAGTAGCGCTAGCAGTCGATGGCGGCCAAGTGAACTGCCGAAACCAGAACTGTTCAACGAGATGAAGCGAAAGTTCGCGAAAATGAACGTCAACCGCTTCCTCGTATTAAAATTTACCTCGTTTCTAAAATCATTTTTTGCCGCTAGAACAGCGGCGCAGCTTACATCACGCCGCCGCCACGGCCTGTCGCCACCGCGCGTGTTTTCAGTGAGCCGCTTCGCGCTGAGAGTTCGCTGACTGGAGGAAGAGCGGTATCGTTTCATGCAGCGCCGAGTCCAGCGTCAGCAGAGTCGAGTCGAGTCCATTCGAGTCCAGTCGAGTCAAACGATCCGCACAGGCTTAGATTTCTCGGCGCTTCGACGCCGCGTCGACTTTGGCGTCAAGGATTCTGAAGGCGTTAGAGGCGCTTCGCCTGCTTGCTGTTTTTGGCTCTGACGTACATCCGCGCCATTACCAGTGATGATTAACAATCCGGCATTTCAGAAATAGAGGACGAACGGTAGTGAAGTATTTGCGACCGAACATGCTGCTAGACGATGAGTCACGAACTCCACTGGAATCTGTACCGTCTGTGGAGCGCATGCTCTCGCGGCAGAAAACGGTACATGGCCACTTTTTCACCGATGGCATTTCACTAGCAGTTTAAACAGCTGTCGCATGACAGTAGGAAGGAAACATTCAGAGCAAATCACGTCAACGGTGAACTACACCCTTTATTGACATCTCCGCCTAGAATTATTTATCATGCGTTCCTGGTTACGTAAGGAACTGAGACAGCACTCATGAACTGAACTTATCCCTGTCTTTCATGTACTGACTCACTGTTCATGGTTTAGCAATTTAAGTAAGCACATGATCATAGACACTCCTTTAGCGACCTTCAATTTCTCTTTCTGCCATGTAGACGGCAGTTAAAACAGTATCGCTTATGGTACGGCTAAGTCATCATGTGAAGCTTAAGGACGATTTAACATTTAGACTCGTTGGACTAGCGATTATTGCCATTTCTTTTCAGAAAAGCAGCAACCTTGCGTTGCTTTAAACAAATCAATTGTATGCGACTTTCCTTCATTCCTTAAGCCAAAAATACTCATTTCAAGAACTTCCGTGCCTGAGTGATCTCGGTGTTTCTGCTACTTTAAAACAAATGCTAGATTACTATCCAAAATCCAGCCAAAATGCAATGTAATAGTTCTAAAGGAGTTGCGTTACAGGTGCAATGGAGAAAACAACAGCTAACATCACACTACTGGCGTTCGCGTGAGGCAGCGTTGTGTGATGAGAAGATCGCAAATAAGCAGCCAAAGTTTCCCTTCCACAAAACTAGTACTACCATGCGCATCAGGACTAGAGACAGTATTAAATAATCAACAGCTAAAGCTCACTTCATTAGATAAATCTTTCTGCGGATTAACAACACGGATGATATATGAAGTATTCCACAACAAATACATTACATCGCTCTAATATCGCATTCATAAGATCATAATTGACGAAAAACAAATTAAAATAACATTGAGTGTAAAGCGAAATGATGGTGTAACTGTAAGTATTGGGCTATACGACAAAAAATAAACGCAAACCCCATAAGGAACGGTTCAATATTCCAAAATCAGTGCGTGGAAGAAGGTGTCTTCCAAATTTCGAAGAAAACTATGATAATTGATGTATGAAACGAACTGTTAATGAAAGAAATTAAGATTCAGCCAACAAAGACTGGCTCTCAGAAATCAGTTTTCTCTCGTCTTGAGAATAACAGTAGCATTGGCAAAACTTTAGTCTCCCCCTGTTATTTTTGAGAAGACCCATCAGAAATTGAACAGTGATCGAGTAGAACATCAACTACGGCGCTTGTCATCCATGCATATTAATGCATGAAGTTTCAGCCAAAGCTTCCGCTGTTTCTGGAAGATCATTTTATGACATTGGCCAAAAATTTTGTGAATGTGCTGTAATTCAGGGAAGCAGCGTTTATGGAAAATAATGACATATATTTCAATTTTTCATCTCATCAACAGAATTCATGTTCAAAGCAATCCCTCAAGACTGATGTTGTTAAAGCCCTGGTTTGCAACGTCCATTTTAAATATTCTTCAAAATGTTATGGGGATTGTTTCCATTAGGGATAAATCACAAGAACCAAACCCGTCGTCGAAATTAGTAACAGATCACGTAGAGTACAAAACGACAATTTCAATCGATCATAATGATAAATTGTGATGACTGGTGAACAAGGAGAAATATTAGAACGGTTCATCACAGAATCTGTAAGTAAATTTCAGTGATAATAAAATAATTAGAGTTTACTTATAGTTGGAAACGGGCCCCAACCTCCTAAGCTTTGTCAGTCTCTAACTATTAATAGTCAGTTAGATTGAGTAGTGTGCGTATTCCTCTGCTGAGAAAGTGGATGATATAATGTACGTGTTTAGGCAACACTATTATGCGTGATTTATTGGGTGTAAGCATAGAAAAGACGTAACAAATATATTGTCCTCATTTTTTATCATCCGCCATGCATCATCCGAATTTTCCGTTATCTGGCTCATTTTATCGACATATTATGGATTCCTGTTACTGTGATGTCATTTTAAAATTATCGCTAATAGTGGCCCTAGGTTCGTCGTCAAGCTTCGTATTGAAGTGTGCTATTCTAGGAAAGATTTACCTTAATAGTGTGAAGAGGTCTGCCAGCCCTCAATACTACGGTTTCGTGACGCAGCTGTCTCGAAGTTCACGTCAGACAATAGCATCCTGGTGTTGTCAACCCAAAATGAACGAAATGCTCTGCCATGCTGTTCAATGCGAGCACTTGTTGTGGCTGCACTGCACGCCGACCTAGCTGATGGCTTACACTTCACTGTGACAAATCAGTACAAGATGTAAGTCAAAAGTAATTTTGTTTCTAAAAAATGTGCTTTACTCTATTAAGGTTGTTGCCCACTCATCTAACGTAAACACCTAGCTTGGATTTAAGGAAAGAACACTTCGACAATGTGGGTATACACGTTTTCAAATCGATATGTTTGGAAATCTTCGACTTAAGGATCTCTGTGATGCACAGGGATGACCCATATCCCTTCCTTATTATATTTTAACGTCATTTATCCTCACATATTTAGTATAATTTTTCGTTTTGACCTTTGTTGAAAACTGAAAAATCTATGAAAATGGTGCATTTATTCTCAACTCCAGTAAATAACTTGGTCAATCAGGTGATGGACCAGTACCGACGTTTCGGTATATCTGCGATGAGCCTGATTCAGTATAGTTTGGGCTAATCTCTGCAACTGGATATGAAGTCCGCAGTTTTTGCGATATCGTATATCAGATACAACTGCGGAAATCTACTCGGGCCACCATGAAAATGGCTCGCGAGCCGACACGTCAGTACTGATCAATTCCCCGACTGACCAACTTACTTGCTTCCATTGTGAATAAATAAGTTGTTTTAATATATTTTTCAGTTTTCAGTTTGAAGACCAACTCATGGTAAAATATTTAATCTCCAGATTTAATTTTCCGCTGTGGTGATCATGTAAGCTATCAGGTGGGTTAAACCAAGTAGCCGTCGTCAAACGCGTGCAATGAACAACATGACTTAAGTTGTTGTAATTGGGGTATGATCTTAGACTAGGTTTTTTAATGCCGTCGACGTGCAACCTGTTTTATCAGTAGACGTCTCATTGAAACGAAGTTGGAAAACCTCCTGAGTTCTGAAATTCTGCCGTTAATATGGAAATTTACGGCATATCCTGAAAGAGATCAAATTTTCAATTTCTCCAATTTAAGGTCACTACATCTTACTGTTGCAAAAAATTGTCAGCTGCTTCAAAATACGAAGCGACCATGTCCGGACTGCTAGTGAAAGAAAACAGTCTTTTGTCTCATAGCGCATTAAATGAACAGACCAAAATTTGAGTACTGTAAAATTTTTGCAGTTAATCATCTTATTGCAAACTCCTTAATGGTCTGTCACGAAGTGCGTCAACTTTCAATTTCTGAGGGATTTTGTACATGGCGTTTAAGTCACGTTAGTGATTAAGTTATTCTGTCAAGGGATCAGATGACCTGCTTCCTTATTTCTGAGCATCTGGTCAAAAAAGTAGGAGTGGAACAACTGAAAGCTACAGCGGAAACAAAATATAACCTTATCTTGCCGCATACAGTTTCCGTTAGAGAAATGTTGCGCAATGTAATATTCAATATTCTCGCGCTACAGTTACGAGTCAGCACGCTCCGATTCAGAGAGACGATGTGTGTGTCCTCCGAACTGCAAGTGCTCAAATACCATTGAGCTATGACCTGATTAAATTGTGCCTCTAGGCGATTGCAAGCAAAGCAGCGGCGCAATTTTGCGGTATAACCCCGTTTAATAACTTCTATTGGTTTAAAGTTACCCCTACTAAAAGAAACATTTAACTTTGAAAATATTCAGGACACCAGACGTAGCAGAAGAGGCGAACGGAAGCTGTTGCAAGAAGCTGCTACACCCGCCAAGAGCCTGCATTTCCCAACGATGATTTCCATCTAGGCTGCGCCAGCATGTAAAGTCGACTAGCACAAGGTGCTGTCCGCCATGCCACTGCTTCACAACACTTGCGCCATTGTCTCAAAAAATATGGCTACATATCAGAAACGATGCTGTCTAATCCCAAAAAAGTAGAACTGTCATTTTGGACCAAACTCTGCTCACCCTGATATGGGACCACTTACACTTCTGGTTTCGATGTTTAGTGTTTGTTCGTTGTTATATGCCACTTATCATGTACCTTAGAGTTTACTTAAGTCAATTTCAATGGTGGACTGATAGTTATCCATATAGATTATTTACGTAATTTACTTGCCTTTATTTTTGATTGACACATTTAAACAATATGGATTTGCATAGACGTTCCTCATTGTACAATACATCAGATGCTATTTCTTTTACTAAATAACTTCCAAGTTTCACCCCGATACTTGGGCAGCGTGAATGACGTGAAGCTGATTGTCTTCTGATTCCATGGTTGGCAGCGTGAAGAACATGAAAAACCTTTTTAACGGAAACCCGAAGTTTCTGCCAAAGTTGCATTGTTCTCTGATGACGAACGATGCAAGTTTGGGATCGGACTTACAAACTTGGAATCGTTTGTAAGTAGAGGTTATTTTGCTTCTCATGCTGTCAATCATAGAATTAAAACACCATCCGCTTGATACCTTTTTATTTCATTCTTATGAAGTGGATTCAACCAGCAGATTCAACGTAAACACGGTGAACGTCATAGCTTCGTAGATGCGCCTGAGTTACCTGTTGTTTTTAGATGGAGATCTCACTACGTTTCCTTCCGTGATAACCTTCAACATGCGTTTGATCACTTCACTACCATACACAGTGAGCGAAATGCAAATC